AAAGAAAAGAGATACACAAATAGGAGATACTCTGAACCCATTGAGTAATAGATATATTTCTTAATCAATGCCCTGAACCCAGCGCCAAAAACACACATAAACTCATTTACTTGTGCTTCTTTTTCCCCTTGCCCCGCACTGTAAACATAAGGCAAATACATTCTTGATAAGCTTCGGTGCGTATAGTCCGATCTTAATGGAATTTTCTGGGCTTACGAACGGCATACGAAAGTGTATAAATGCCGAAGTGTGAGACTTTACTTTTAGAAACAAGTTTTTGTTTTCAGTTTTGTATAGAATAGAGAGAGGTCTCCAAATAGAGAAATGTTCTTAATCTGCAGGGTATATACGATACCAAGTTTTTAGCTGTTATAAATTTCAAGGTATGCTTAAAGAGTCATGTCCCAGAATCTATATAAATAGGAAAAAATTTCGAAAAAACAAAAAACTCGTTCTGGGTATGGGCAAATATATTTTTAAATATTCTTTAAATGTCATCTTTCTCCTACAAAATAGCATCGATTAATTGTTTTGTTTCATTCCAAGTCGTTTCGGCGTTTATCTTTCAGAATGCCAATCTCTTAATTGTTTTTTTGTGTTTCTGTCGACAGCTCAATGTCAGGTAATAATGGACTTCCCATTGCGATAATTTAATTAAAATGACGTGACAGTTTACAAGTTAATTGCAATGTAAAAAATGCAAGAAATGTTTAGAATATTTGTTCAAATGAAAACGAAAAAAACAAAAACAAGGATCACAAATATTGTTTGTTAAAATAATTGGCATATGCAACACAACAGACGAAGAATCAGTGAGCGTATCAATGAATGTGCATAGCAAAATGCACATACACCCACGCACACACACACGACCACACACACGCACACACACACACACACGACCACACACACGGACACAGGCAGACGCTGATAAAAGGCATGCATAGGAAAACAGAATTTTCATTCATAAGGCGCAGCTTTTAATGCTCAATGGATTTAAACGTCAGCTATGCATATGCCGCAGGCAGCTGCCACAGGAAGTGACGTAATATGTACACTCACACACACACACACACACACACACAGACACATACAAATGCACTTATATAGTCAGAAAGCGCGCACGCAGCAACTGATTGGTTTACCTTTAGCTGTGTGCGTGAATTTCGAATTATTCGCACGAACGCCGCAAAAGTGCATGCGAGCGAGAGCGAGAGCGAGATGCAACTACAACTATCGCTCTCTTTTATTCTTTGCCTGGTGCCCAGGGGCTGCTTTTACACGCATCGCTGCCGCTGGAGGTTTGTGTCCAAAGTCTTTAGTTCTGTGCGCCGACCTCGTGCTGCATTTGAAAGCGAATTCTATCGAACAATGTTGCAACAAAAACAACAACAGTAGTCAACGATAATTTGGCTGCAGATATATCTATGCATGTCAGTGCGTGTGTGTGTGTGCGTGTGTGTGTGCAAAAAGCACCATTCACAAAATAAACAGTAGCCCACAAGCCAGAGCGAGAGAGCAAGAGTGGGAAGCAGCGCAGTGCGAACAGTGACAGTTACATTGGCAAAGCTCAATGGCAGGCAACTGAATTGCAGCAACAATTGCTGCAATAATCAATATTGAGTGCAATTCGTGATGCAAAAATTGAGCAGGATTGCAGAAAAGTGGTAAAAGGGAGAGAGCGGGTGTCACGAAGAGAGCGTGTGTCCAATCAGAGCCGATTGACAGAAATACGTTGTACCAAAGATGTACCAAGATGTACCAAATGTGAAAACAATGAATGTAACATTTTTAGCAAGTTATCTCTGTTTTTCAAAATCTTTACTATTATGGAAAATGAAAAACTGTACTTCAAATATAAGATACAGTTCGTGTGTACCATTGCATAAATAAAGTACCAAGATTCGTAAGCCCAGTAAATTTTCATTGACATAAGAATTGTGTGTGTATTGGTAGCATGAGTTGACTTGGATTTGGTATGGGGAATGTGTTGCACAAATAACTCCGCAACACCTCAAATAACAGTCGAAAAGAGTCGCATTCCACTTAAATTATTCATTCGAAGCGTTCTGGAATGCAGCACATATGCAAATCAATTGCAAGGGGGATTCACTCGATACCGACTAATAAATGTATACTAGCAGTCGGTAAGGGACGGAGGGGGGATCTCACACAGCAAAAGCTGTGGCACCTCGTGCATAACAATTGTTGTTTCTAACTAATATCTAAGCGAGCTTCTATGATATATATATATACATATATATATGTAATATGTATGCTGCGTTTAGATTTCAAGTGAAATCGAAATCTGAAATCTATAAATAAAATCATTTCATCAGCAAATGACGTATCGGATAACAATTCAATTACGGAATTCAGTTATCCGTCTTATATAAATAAATAGAATAAATGTTGCTAAAACAAAAACAAGGAATAAACCAATGTGAGCTTAATATAGAATATGCCAAGCATCCTAAACGAATAATCACAAATTGTGACGTTTAGTAACAGTTAATTAAAGTAACAATTTATTTATTTTTGCAGCTTAAACTTGTTCATGCCAAAAAATGTTGCCATGCTCTGGCAACAATGTTGCAGCAACACTTGCGCCATGTGCACTCAAAGCTCAAAAACAATTCGCACTCAAAATGCCACTCAAAACTTGCTAAGCACTCAAGAGCGAAGCGCGAGAGAGCTTCAACACGCTTCGAATCGCTCAAAAAGCTTCTGGCAAACCGGCGAATGCAAATATTTGTGAAATAGATTGAGAGAGACTGAGAGAGAGCGAAGCTCTCACACGTTATGTACATGCATACATATGTACATATAGACTTTCATGAATTTCACAATTTGGCGCGAAGCAACTGGCTTTGAGTAAAAATATCTATTATACTCGATTTGCTTGGAAAAGATAATGGCACATGCCGGCAATGGGGCGGCAGCGGCGCCAACGTAGTACTCACAGTCGTAGTACTCGTGCACGTATGTATGTACATACATACATACATATGCAGTCGTGGAGTAGTAAAAAGCTCCCATTGTTGACTATTGCGCCAAAAGTGCAAACACAAGCACAGACATAAGCGCAGTGTCAATTGCTGTGGTGATGGCAAGGCAGGCAGGCTACGGGGCGTGGCGCTGCAGTCTCTGTCAGCGTCAGCGTCTGTGTCAGCGTCAGCGTTGTCTTTCTACATAGCATTTGACGACCTCGTGGCGTGGGCGAGGGCGTGGCAGTAGGCGAGGGTTAAGCACGTACTATGCTCCCTTCTTTTCTGTTTGTGTGAATATGTATGTATGTACATATGTGTATGTAAAATGTCTGCGTGTGTGTGCTGTTTGGCTATGCGATGGGCTGAAAGCAAAAGTGACCGTTAGCTGGTGTCTGGCTGTGTGTGTGTGTATGTGGTGTTGTTTTTGCGACTGCCCAAAAATGCAGACAGAACTAATTGCAACTTGCACGACCTACATCAAGAAGGGGCGTAGCCGGGTAAATGGCTGAGTGCAGGAGTGCTGCGGGGGGCTATATACATGCATACATGCATACATACATATGTATGTATGTATGTACATATGTATGTATATTAAAGATCTCCTGTCTCTATATTGATTTTCAAGATGTTTGCTTAGATTCTTTCATACTCTGTACAATATTGAAGCTACAATAGGGTATAGTGCAAATGTGCAAATATACATACATACATACATATGTAAACGTCGTTTTGTCGGCTCCATTCGGCCAGAGTTTTATTGCGTTTTTATTTTCTTTATTTTTGGCCACGCCCAGTGGAAAACAACGTAGGCTTAGTTTTACTTGTGTTCTCTTCGATAGTCATCTTGCACACACACCCACACACACACATGCACACACAAAGGCAGACTATTTGTTTGGCTGATATAACTGCTACAGGGCGAATTGCCTAAATTTATAATTTGACATTTATGCATTTTTTATGATTATTTATTACGTTAATTTTTGATTAAAACTGAAGTCTGCTCGGCGGGCATACCCAGCCCCATCGCTGCCCGCTCACCCATCCGTCGTCCCCTGTCGCGCCTTGAACATGGTTACGTCCCTTTTCCCATCCAGTTTTATCTCAATTAATGTGCGACATTTTTACGGCTTGTTTGGGGAAGAAGTGAAGTTCACGATCTTGAAACTGAACACGAATTGGAATGGGAACAAGGCAGAATGTTAACTCAAATTATAATTTATTGCAATTCATGAATATACCCTGTACTTTAAGGTAATACTATTACACCCCGTAAGGAGCGCAGGCACTGCTTGGGATGCAGGGTATCGCTGGGATGCAGGGTATCGCCTAGTCAAGCAGTTTCGACCACTTTCGTTACTATGTTTTCATTTTTAAGGAACCTTTCATTAATACAAAAACGTATTGCCAATTTCTGATAGAAAACCCCAATCTTAGAGCAGGAGTAACTACTCAAGATCCAATATATGTCTATATATATATGTATATATAAATGATATTATATGTATATATGGCTTCCGCATAGAAACGCAGACACTTCTAAACGTTGATTAAGAAAATATTTGTCTGTATACCGTGAGGCCTTGTAGCATGCACCTATCTCTATAATATACTCTCTATAAATATTCTTGGGGTATCTACAAAAGGCGTTGCCAAGACAAGCGGCAGGCGCATAATCAGTATGTTGTATAGTACATTGTATGTGCATGTTTAGCAATACAGTGCTCTAAATTCAATTCATATTTGTTAGCTAGTATAAGTATAACAAACATTATCAGGCATTAGAAATTGAATGTACTTACTTAGTTTTCACTACGTGAACTCGATACCCTAGCAGTGTGTGTGTGTGTGTGTGTGTGTGTGTGTATTCATAGAGACAATCGGAGCCAATCCTTGAATGGATTATTAATTGATTGATTAATGTGTGAAGGAGCTATATAAATAGATTTATATGTATATATATATATATATATATATACATACATGTATATGGTGTCGGTCTTAAACAATATTTATTCAGAGTTGATCCTTAATTAAATTTTCCAATTTATACACATTTTTAAAGTCTATTAGATATTACTTGAGTTCGCACTTAATTAAAACATTTTTCTGTAGTGGAATCTTATTGTACTCCAATTCTTATTTGTAATTTTCTATTTATGATATCCAGAATCATCGTCTCGTAAAACCTTTTTAGTTTCTTCCGATATCTTTTATCTATAGGAACATTCGCTGGAAAAGGAGATTTTCATTTAGAATACTTTAAAATATTGAAATATACACATCCGCACATCCGCAATGTATCTGCAAGGGTATTCAATCTTCGGCGACTTCTCTCCTGTTTTCACGCTTTGATTTAGTTTTCCCGAGTTACATCTTTTGTATTATGATAAAATGTGTGTGTAAATAGCTTTTTAAACTTTTTGCGCAAGTTATATACTTGAGACTACATACCCTGTAAGAGAACATTTTTCATTGAAGTTCCAATTCATTTTCGTTTTTGTTTTTGTTTGTGTATTAAGTCGTTCGAACTGTCAAATGTGAAAACTGTCAGCTGTGCAGTGTCAGATAAATTGAATCCCTGAGCAGTTGTTGATGCCGTTTACGATGTGCCTTTTATGTCCAACTCGATCCATTTTGGCCATTAAGAAAACTTGTACTTTCCTTTCATCCAAATGGCCGGCAGACGCCAGACAGGGTTCAACTTGTGCAAACTAAAATAAAATAAAACTAAAGTGCAAATGTAAGAAAGCCTGAGAATTTACTTATTATATATTAAATCTGATACTTATTATTAGGTTGATTTTCGTTTGAAGTGATTTAATGCCCAACATTAAATACTAAATTTGTGTTCTTATGAACACGACCAAATGAATCACGCATTCATTTTTATGCAGACTTATTCGTATTTATATAAACAGTGTATATATATTTTGATACTCACTTTACTCATACATACTCTGTAGACTATTTTCAAGATATCTGCTATAGTACTTAATTATACTCTATATAATTATACAAAGATGTTCCCTTAAATGTCGTCATACATTTTTCCAAAATCGGCAGTAGCCGACTGCATAATACCCTTTCACAGCACTTTAAAGCAGACTAACTAAAGATTAAGGGATAATTATTTTGCCGTCCCCTGGAAGCATTGGTTCGCAGGATTAGAGGAGCTCCTTAGTGGGTCGTTAGTAGCTAGTAGTAGGTCGTAGCCATAAAGATAAGAGTATATACATACATAGCTATAAGTGCATTCATTCGGACTAATCCAATATACCCGTATTCACTGCGTGAACAGAGTATACAAATCTCATTTATCGATTGGCACAGTCACATATTGTTGATATTTAATATATATGCATATATACATATATACCGTATAGTTGTATGTACTTAATCTGTTCGTTAGTCAATGTGTAAACAACAACGGGGACAGTTTTCAGTTTCCATTCGCTTTTCTTATGTTTTTCTTTCGCTGTTAATGATGCACAACCCGATGACAATTCGATTTGTGCTCGAGCTTGATTCATGTTTCAGCTTCTGACTCTGACTCCGATTCCGATTCCGATTCGATACCAATATGCGCCGGCATTCGATATGTCGTCTAATTCCAATTTGTTTACTTGTCGAGCTTGTTGTTGTTGTTGTTGTTGTTGCTTTTCCTGTGTAATTTATTTCTTTTATTCTGTTTGTTTTTTTCTCGCTGGCTCGTTTTGTTTATATTCTTGTTGCTGTGAGCTTTTTATTATTATTTAATTCTTTTCCTATTTGTTTTTTTTTATTTTAATTGCAGTTGCAGTTGTTGGCGTAGTGCACTTTGCCCTCGTCCCTGTCTCGGTCTTGTCTCCATCTCCATCTCTATCTCTCCGTCTCCCTTGCTCCTGCTGCTTGTGTGCGTTTTGCAAATTGAGATGGCTGCGCCGCGTCGCTGCCTAAGCTCCCGGCGCTGCAAATGTCAGCACATGCCGGACGTTATACTATCCGTCGGCATACCCAACAGACAGGATGCCCTCGCGGGGTATATTATTTCAATTGCGCCGCAGCCTGGCGCCTTCGACGAAGGCTTCAATTCGATTTAAGTAAATTTAATATTCATAAGAACACATGATTATTTTTTGATCTTTTCAGTTGAGCACAAATAAAATAATAGTTTCAGCAACCTCTTCATTGATTTAGAAAATACTCATAAGCATTCCGAATACTTCCCTCATGCATTTAAAATATTTACAGCAGTAAAATATATATTATCATAAATTAGTTATGTAGTTACTTTAAGAATTTGTAACACATCAATTGGAAAATAGTCGAAACCAGTTTAAACTGAGTAGCAGTAAAATATCTGAATACGTTTGGAAATAAGAAATATCAGTGCATTCAATACCCTGCTAAGTAATTTACAGGGTATATTGCTGGTTGTTTATGGTTTGTTTGAGACTCGCGTATATCAATGCTTGTCTCTGTTCGCTCGCTTTGCCTTATCAGCATTAAATGTGGGAACCAACCTGGCTGTTTACGGCTGGGCAACGGGGCTGGGCAACGGGGCGTGGCGCCGCCTCTTTTAAAAGAAGTCTGAAATTTAATGCATTGACATTTGCGTTTGCGTTTGCGTGCACTGCCCAAAACCAACACTACGATCTAGCGACAGTGAGCAAAAAAGCGGAGCGCGACTAGGAGATACCCTATGCTGGGATCCCGTACTAGACTACTTTCTACTTTCTTCTCATCATATGTACATATGTATGTATGTATATACCAAGAGCCAGCACCGATGAAACCCCAAACTTTACTGTGCTATTTTCTTCCCTTATTGATCAAGGTCGGTTCTTATAGTCTGATCTTAAAGAACTTTTCAAGGGGTTTCATATGGCATACACAAGCAAGTTTTTTTTAAATTTCGAAATATTCTGAATTTGTATAGTCACATTTATAATCTCCAGTCTATGTTTAAATCGATATTTAACGCCCTGCGTATTGTGTAAGAGAATGTATATTTCATGTTTTAAGAATCGAACTCTTTCAGTTTCCAAGATCGACGAGTTCCCGCAGACAAATATATACACTTTATGGGTTCGGAGATGATTTCTTCTACGTGTTACATACGTTTACACAAAAGCTTAATACCCTTTTTTACCCAATCTTATTGCAGTGTCCAGAGTTTAAAAGTAACGAAAAAGCAAGATACTGCACATAAGGAAGAGATGGCTGAACGTTGCCACCTGGCACCGAAATAGAACTGATAAGTGGACCCACTACCCCTCGGGCAGCGCCGCTCTCCCCTCTGAGCGCACGATCCTCGGCGCGCATCAATGGCGCTTGTGCGGCTTTAATTAGCACTGCACGTAGCTGCCATTGTTAGAAATACTGTGATGCACACGATTTCATTAATGGCAACGGGGTCTGCACTCGACTCGTTACTCGCCACTCGCCACTCGCCGCTCGCCACTCGCCACTCGCTAATCTTCCGCCAGGTGATTCGGACTGAACGGCACGTATGTGAATGCTTCATTGCCCAGCCGCCATGTGCATGTGCATGCGTGCATGTGTGTATTTTCTACACTAACTGGCAGCACTGCAATAAGCTCAGGTACAGTTATGCACGGTTACGGGCAGTTAAACTGTCTGGCAACGCATTGTAATGTTCATATTTTGCATATCGTACTTATGTTTATACTCTGTTTACGAAGCGAAATGAGTATATTGGACAGGTGCAAAGGCTGTAGACATACTCGTTTCTATTGTATATACAAAGTGCTATTTTTATTCGATCTATATCTATATCTTTTAAAGTTTAAGAACTAGATTCGGCAAATATTAAATGAAAACTACTTACGAGCTAATCTAATTATCGATGCAAAAGTATTTAGACAACGATATCTCTTGATAAATTTGTTGGGTAAACCGTTCCATTGTGTTAACGGACTATGGTAGGGTATTACACAGTCTTGTACACCCAACTGCAATATTCTTATTCGTTTATAAATATGCTAATGCGGAACCAGCACACCCGCAGCAGCATTTGTCACTAGCTTTTATAATGCACAATATTTATATGCAAATATCTGACACATTGACCGGATTTGGTTCAACTCGCCCGATAATAGCTATCAGCTAGTAGTTTATGTGACCCCCTCCTCCTCCTCACCACACAGAGGCAATAACCTTTACGTATTCACATACATTTATGTAAGTAGATATGGTCAAATATGAGGTAATGCATCCAGGGACTTTAAGGCGGAAATTTTCTCTCAAACCATTTTTCTTTTTCATTTGTTTCGAACATTTTTGTCGCTCTTGACGGACTTCCTTTTAAGCGGACACGGACAAATGATTTGTGACAAGCAATTCTCTTAACCCGACTCCTAAAACCCATTAGAAAAGTATAAGATGCACTTTAGTCACAATTATGTTGGGTATTTGCTCGAATAAAGAATCCAGATCCAGAGCTTGACATTGATTGTTGGGATGCGATATACGCAATTGTGGGTAACGATGCTATAGATACTACACTTATGTAAATCTGATGGTTCTCAAATAGAACCGCTTTAACATTCTTAGCACATCTGGAGCAATTTATCAGATATTTAAGAAATATAGAAAGTCATATGCAATATGGACTTTTGAAAGGGATAAAAAATTGGGCGGACACTTCTCTTGAGCGGACAAAAATGACTTGAAAATTTTGACTGCAGTTTGTTTGCGAAGCGTCGTGGGCTAAGCGGCGACAGGCAGGTCAAGAAGGGCGGGGCTCGAGGCCCCGTGTTGTGGAAAGTCCAAAAAAGTATGTATTGTAGCATCGTTCACTTATTGATTTAGCGAAAGGTATTGAAATTGGGGAAAAGGCATTTTTATTTGTCCTGCCCCTAGAAATAGCATTGACAGAGTTGCCTTTGATTGGATTTCGATCTTTGATTTCCGTTGTATTTGTATTGATTTATTGACGATATCGATAACATATCGATATTTCTAATCATAATTTCGCTTGGTATTCAAGGATATTACAGAAGGCATAAATCAATTTCGGATTTGTCGGCGAATATTTGTAATCTTCATTTTTGGAAAAGTATTCTTATTAAAAGTGATTCGCAATCAATTCGAGCGACTAACCAACAAGTAATATTCTTCGATAATTTGAGCTGTAATCGATTTCCAAGAGCGACAAAGAGCAGCTGCGATTGGACTGCGACTGAGCGAACGCGGCTTCCACTTGTTGCCACTCGAAACAGAAAAGCAAATTTGCAATTAGCCAACAGCCTTTGAGCTATAATAGACAGCTCGTTTTCGCTGGTGCGCTATTTGTTGTGTCTCCCATATCAACGGGCTGGGCAACAACAACTGAAACAGATGCCAAAGTCAAGTTCATATTTCAATTTCAAGGTTTTGGGTAAACATTTGCTAATAAGTAAATACAGCGAAATATCAGCAATACAGGTAAACTGCAAAGTGTGTAAAAAAATATAAATAAACAAATAGAAAGCAAATGAAAATGAAAACTGAAAGCTGAAAAAGTAAACAGCAACAAATGACGGAAACACAACGACAGCAACCACAAGAACAACAAAAATAAAGCCATGTTTCCCTCTCAAATTGATTAAGTTCCTTGTAAAACAGTTATTAAAAAAGTCAATTGTTGTGTCTATGTAGATTATCCAAGCCCTAATATCAGATACTAGGCGTAACTGTGACCATCAAAAGTGGGCTTTCAGATGCATGATCACTTTTCAAAACAAGAAAT